ACATCCTGAAGTCTACTCAACAGTCTTTTATCTCCCAATACATAATCCAACAAACTACTGTCATTTCGCCCTACATCATATCGTGTATACTTATTTATCCTCTTTTTCTTAAAATATGTATTACCTATAACTAAACCCCTTTCTATACAAAGTTCAATCAAAGGGCCTCCCATTATCATTTACACCTGGCACCCCAAATTACCTACCACACCCTCTCTAAAAGTTTCTCCTACTTTAGCATTCAATCCCCTACCACAATTACTCTCTCACTTGGTTCAAAGGCTCCTATACATTCACTTAACACTCCCAAAATCTCTCTCTCTCCTCTGCATTCCTCTCTTCTCCAGGTGCATACACGCTTATTATGACCCACTTCTCGCATCCAACCTTTACTTTAATCCACATAATTCTTGAATTTACACATTCATATTCTCTTTTCTCCTTCCATAACTGATCATTTAACATTACTGCTACCCCTTCCTTTGCTCTAACTCTCTCAGATACTCCAGATTTAATCCCATTTAATCCATTTATCATTATTAACACACTGACCGATTCCCACCAAGGCAGGGTGGCCCGAAAAAGAAAACTTTCACCATCATTCACTCTATCACTGTCTTGCCAGAAGGGTGCTTTACACTACAGTTTTTACACTGCAACATTAACACCCCTCCTTCAGAGTGCAGGCACTGTATGTATTTCCCATCTCCAAGACTCAAGTCCGGCCTGCCGGTTTCCCTGAATCCCTTCATAAATGTTACTTTGCTCACACTCCAACAGTAATCTTGTCCTTCATAAACCCATCTGCTGGTAAATCTACTCTCAAATATCTGAACACATTAACTTCTTCCACACTCCCTCCCTCTAATGTGATATCCAATTTTTCTTTACTTAACTTGTTTGATACCCTCGTCACCCTACTCTTATCTACGTTCACTTTCAATTTTCTTTACACATTAGAGAGGATGAACAGAGATAGATTCATGAAGAGACTATGTAAATCTGAGGTGGAAGGAAGAAGGGGAGGATCATCCTTTGAAAACTTGGAGGGACAGGGTACAAGAGGCTCTGAGTTTTAGTGGCTTCAGCATCCAGCAGGCTTGTGAGAGCATATTACAGTGGACCCCCGAGTTTCGTGATTAATCCGTTCCAGAGAGCCTGCCGAAAGTCGAAATTCACGAAACTTGAAACCATTTTCCCCATAAGAAACAATGGAAATAAAATTAATCCGTTCCAGACACCCAAAAACATTAAAATAAATTTTTTTTTTTCAAATTAAATAAAGATTTACATACTGAAAACAATCAGAAATCAAGTACAGTGGACCCTCAACCAATGATTGCATCGATTAACGATAAATCTGACTAGCGATTCATTTAAACGCAAAAATTTTGCCTCGACTAGCGCTTAAAAACCCGACCAGTGCTTTTCGTTCCGTACCATACGCGTCCACTTTGGCCTGAGCGCGCCTCACTTGTCCCTTTGGTGCCAGTGTTTACAAGCCAGCCAGCCACCACAGTCGCTTCCAAACATACAACTGGAACATTTCATATTATCACAGCCTTTTTAGTGATTGCACCTGCAAAATAAGTCACCATGGGCCCCAAGAAAGCTTCTAGTGCCAACCTACAGCAAAAAGGGTGAGAATTTACTATGGAGATGAAGAAAGAGATCATTGATAATATAAATGGAGTGCGTATCTCTGAGCTGGTAGGTTGTATAATAAACCCCAATCAACCATCGCTACTATTGTGGGCAAGAAAACGGCAATCAAGGAAGCTGTTCTTGCCAAAGGTGCACTATGTTTTCGAACTGAGATCGCAAGTACTCGAAGATGTTGAGAGACTGTCATTGGTGTGGATAAACGAGAAAACAGATAGCAGGAGACAGCATCTCTCAAGCGATCATATGTGAAAAAGGTAGGAAGTTGCATGACGATTTAATTACAAAATGCCAGCAACTAGTGATGTGAATGAATTTAAGGCCAGCAAAGGTTGGTTTGAGAGATTTAAGAAGTGTAGTGGCATTCATAGTGTGATAAGGCACGGTGAGGCTGCCAGTTCGGACCACAAAGCGGCTGAAAAATATGTGCAGGACTTCAAGGAGTACATAGACAGTGAAGGACTGAAACCTGAACAAGTGTTTAATTGTGATGAAACAGGCCTGTTTTGGAAGAAAATGCCAAGCAGGACATACATTACTCAAGAGGAAAAGGCACTCCCAGGACATAAGCCTATGAAAGACAGGCTTACTTTGTTGATGTGTGCCAATGCTAGTGGTGATTGCAAAGTGAAGCCTTTATTGGTGTATCACTCTGAAACCCCCAGAGTGTTCAGGAAAAACAATGTCCTCAAGGCTAATTTGTGTGTGCTGTGGAGGGCAAACAGTAAGGCATGGGTCACTAGGGACTTTTTCTATGACTGGTTACACCATGCATTTGCCCTTGATGTGAAAAATTACCTAATTGAAAAGAAATTAGACCTTAAGTGCCTCCTGGTATTAGACAATGCCCCTGGTCATCCTACAGATGTGGCAGAGTGACTTTCTAGGGATATGAGCTTCATTAAGGTGAAGTTTTTGCCTCCTAATACCACTCCTCTCCTGCAGCCCATGGACCAGCAGGTTATTTCCAACTTCAAGAAACTGTACACAAAAGCTATGTTTGAAAGGTGCTTTGTAGTGACCTCAGAAACTCAACTGACTCTAAGAGAGTTTTGGAAAGATCATTTTACCATCCTCAATTGTGTAAACATTATAGGTAAGGCTTGGGAGGAAGTGACTAAGAGGACATTGAACTCTGCTTGGAAAAAACTGTGGCCAGAATGTGTAGACAAAAGGGATTTTGAAGGGTTTGAGGCTAACCCTGAGAATCCTATGCCAGTTGAAGAATCCATTGTGGCATTGGGGAAGTCCTTGGGTTGGAGGTTAGTGGGGAGGATGTGGAAGAGTTGTGGTGGAGGACAGTGAAGAACTAACCACTGATGAGCTGCTAGATCATCTTGAACAGCAAGAGGGTAGACCTGAGGAAACTGCTTCGGAGGAGAGGAGAGAGAAATTGAAGAAGTTGCCTACTTCTAAGATTAAGGAAATCTGTGCAATGTGGCTTAAAGTGCAAAGCTTTATGGATGATAATCACCCTGACACAGCTACTGCAAGCCGTGTTGGCAACCTGTACACTGACAATGTTGTGAACCACTTTAGGAAAGTCATAAAGGAACGAGAGGTACAGGCCTCTATGGACAGATATGTTGTGCGACAGAAGTCCAGTGACTCTGAAGCTGGTCCTAGTGGCATTAAAAGAACAAGGGAAGTAACCCCAGAAAAAGACTTGCTGCTTCAAGTGCTAATGGAAGGGGATTCCCCTTCTAAACAGTAAGAAGATAATGCTCTCCCCTCCTCCCATCCCATCAATCATCACCAGATCTTCAATAAAGGTAAGTGTCATGTAACTGTGCATGTAATCTTCAGTTTGTGTGTATTAAAATTAATATTTCATGTGGTAAAAATTTTTTTTTTTTCAATACTTTTGGGTGTCTTGCATGGATTAATTTGATTTCCATTATTTCTTATGGGGAAAATTAACTTGACTAACGATTATTTTGACTAACGATGAGCTCTCAGGAACGGATTAATATCGCTGGTTGAGGGTCCACTGTACATGCATATAAAAAATACTAATAACATTACACTTACCTTTACTGAAGACCTCTGGGTGGATGGAAGACGGGAGGGGATAGGAGGAAGGTGTACGCTATTGTTTGGAAGGAGAATCTCCTTCCATTAGGACTTCAGGTAGCAAGTCCTTTTCTGGGGTTACTTCCCTTCTTCTTTTAATGCCACTGGGAATAACTTGAGAGACACTGAACCCCTGTTGAACAAAATATCTGTCCAGAGAGGTCTGTTTCTGGCATTTCTTTATGATTTGCATGAAGTGGGACAAGGTTTTGTCACTGAACATGTTGCAGATATGGCTTGATTCAGCTTGGTCAGGGTGATACTTTTCAACAAAACTTTGCAACTCATTCCACTTTGAACACATGTCCTTAATCACCGAAGAAGGCACCTCCTTCACTCTCTTTTCCTCCTCCTCTGAAGCAAGTTCCTCAGCTGTGGTCTGATGCTGTTCCAGTTAAAGCTCTTGCAGTTTGTCAGTGGTTAGCTCTTCCCTGTGGTCCTCCACCAACTCTTCCACATCCCCGTCACTCATCTCCAACCCCATGGACTTGCCCAATGCCACAACACCTTCCACAACAGGCAGAGGGTCGGCAGGGTCAGGGTCTGCCTCAAACCCTTCAAAATCCCTCTGGATCGTGTTCTTCGCTTTCTTTACCAAAGGGCTTGCACTAGCTTTCCTTGGGCCCATGGTGACTTATTCAGCAGTTGCAATCACAAAAAACAATGGATTATTACGTATGAACCCGTGGGGTGATGGTCACGTGTTGGTAAACAATGGCACACTGAGTGTGAATGGCGTGGGAGACTGGCTGTGTGTGTGCGCGGTGACGGGTGGACGGGTACTGGACGGCCGCCGAATCACGAGTCTAATCACAAAACTTGAGGCCAAATTTTGCTGAAAAAACTTGCCGAAAGTCGGATTTCACGGAAGTCGATGCTGCTGAAACTCGAGGGTCCACTGTAGATAGAAGTGAATGGTGAAAAGTTGGTTCTTGGCATGAACAAGGTAACCATTATGAAGGAATTCAAGGAAACCAGTTAGCCAGACTGGAGTCCTGGAGGTAGAAAGGGCAGTGCCTGCACCCGGAAGATGTGGGGATGTTGGAGTTAGAGGTAATCTGATTGCAATGTCAGCATACTTTTGGCAACAGGTGGTGTCAAGATGGAAAAGGGTCTTGGGAGGCTTCAGTCTCCCAAAATTCCCTCAGTTCCACTAATAAAAATAGAAATAATAATTCTGCTTCACAAGTTTCCTAGCCCTGCTTCTAACCAAATAGCCACCCTAGTGTAATAGTTTATTGATAAAACAAGTGCTGATATTGTACCTGCTTTCTTGTCCACAGGAGATCCAGTTCATCTACCAGTAACAGTGTGGGTTCCCTTCTTGGGGCTGGGGTGGAAAATCTCTTTTGAAGTAGCGATGAGGCATGCTCTGCTGTTGCCTTATTTCCAGTTAAACCCTTCCATACCTGCAAAGACATTTATAAAAATAATATGCAATAATGTTTTATTATTAATGCCACTTTTTCACCCTAAATTCATTAATGTAATGTAACAAGTACCTTCAAACAAAGAATAAAAAAAATTTCCTTTAAAAAGTTGTCCTTAAGAGCACATCTGGAAATACAATTGAAAAAATTACAGTGGAACCAGTGGAACCCCAGTTGTCGAACTTAACTGGTTCCAGATGTTTGTTCGACAACCAAACCAATTTTTCCCATAAAGAATAATGTAAATACAATTAATCTGTCCCTAACAAAAATGACTTTTTTTTTTTTTAACACATCGGCTGTTTCCCACCAGAGCAGGGTAACCCAAAAAGAAAAAACAACAAAAAGAAAAAAAAAACACAAAAAGAAAGAAAAAACTTTCATCATCATTCAACACTTTCACCATCACTCATACATAATCACTGTCTTTGCAGAGGTGCTAAGATATGACAGTTTAGACCCTCCAAACTGCCAATATCCCAAACCCATCCTTTAAAGTGCAGGCATTGTCCTTCCCATTTCCAGGACTCAAGTCCGGCTAACCGGTTTCCCTGAATCCCTTCAAAAATATTACCCTGCTCACACTCCAAAGAGCTCGTCAGGTCCCAAAAACCATTCATCTCCATTCACTCCTATCTAACACGCGCACACACGCTTGCTGGAAGTCCAAGCCCCTTGTCCATAAAACCTCCTATACGCTCTCCCTCCAACCTTTTCAAGGACGACCCCTACCCTGCCTTCCTTCCCCTAAATTTATACACTCTCCAAGTCATTCCACTTTGTTACATTCTGTATCACCAAACTACCTCAACAACCCCACTTCAGCCCTCTGACTAATACTTTTAGTACCTTCACACCTCCTAATTTCTACACTATGAATTCTCTGCATAATATTTACACCACACACTGCCCTTAGACACGGCATCTCCAATGCCTCCAGCCGCCTCCTCACTGCAGCATTTACAACCCAAGCTTCACATCCATATGAGTGTTTTGGTATCACTATACTTTCATACATTCCCTTCTTTGCCTCCATCGATAATGTTTTTTGTCTCCAGATACCTCAACGCAACACTCACCTTTTTTTCTTCATCAATTCTATGGTTAACCTCATCCTTCATAAACCCATCCAATAATATAATAATTTATTAAGAATAATGTACTAACTACTACATAAAACAATGAATAAAATTATACAGCACATGGAAACTCTAAAAATGAATACAAAATGAAAATTTAACCGAAACACTGTACAGTAAGTGAAAATTTAGCCGCCTTTTACCTGTCAGAGAAGAGCTAATGGCAAAATTCCAGCAGCTTCAAAACTTGTGGGAGAAAGCTGGCAGGCCTACATGTAAGAGAATGGGTCTGCATGGTCAGTGTGCACAGTATAAAAAAAAATCCTGCAGCATGCAGTGCATGAGAAAAAAAACAAACATGTTTTTGGTTTAAAACAGCAACTTTGTTTTTTTTTTGTACAGTATTTATGGTTGCATTCTCATTTTCTTGGTCTCATTTGATACAAAGGAAGATGTTACAGAAATATAGATGATTTCCAACGGTTTAAAGACTAAAAGCAGCTTAAAATTGAGCTCAAAGTAGCGGAAATGTTCGATTTCTGCCAATGTTCAAGAGTAAACACATCATGCCATGCGTCCAATACACACCAACTGGTGGATTCAACATGCATTCACAAATGCGATGATATTATTTATACAATTATTGCATTTATGCAGTAGTGCAAAAAACAGTAAATCTTCTATATTTTGTTTGAATAAAAATTCAAAATGAAGAGTAAGCAAAATATAAGACGGGCCTGAAGACGTGACTAATGAACAGATAAGAAGTTATTTTAGTGCCAAGAATATCTGCAATGTTTATGCTGGACCCTATTTTGAAATTGGCTTTTCTTTAATTTTGTGTGAAATTGGCCAAATTTGTAATTTCAGATCACTTACTGGGTAGTTGAAATGGGAAATGAGCAGTTTCTTGTACTGAATCGATAGAATAAAAGGAGTTCTAGCAAAATAGCTGAGTTTGGTAGACTGGAACAATGGAACTGGCCCAAAATAGGGCTCAAAGTGGGTGAAATCGCTGATGCATAAATATCACTGAGACTGCTAACTTCGCAACAGCGTAATTCCTTAGGTTTTTCCATCAGATTTTGTACTTTTGGTTTCATTACGTTCACAAGATGCACAGCAAGAGCTCAGGAGATGTTTACAGCATGCATGTTAGTCACTATACTGACTGAGATTCATGTTATGGACTGTCTGGTGATGAATGATCCGGGCATTGTCAGTCGACAATGGTACCCTGCTCAGACTCCTAACTGCACATCAAATACCAAAAAATTGCTTGTCCCCACTTAATCCAATTTAACAGATTCAAGCCCTTACCACTTAAAGCCTCCTTCATCCACTCCCTCCATTCTTTCCACCCTGGATTTATATACCCTCTTAGTTTACCTGTCCTGCTCCATCCTCTCAAAATGAGTAAATGAGTAAACCATCTTAACACCCCCATTTCCTCCCATTTAGTTACACATTTCACACCACCACACCACATTCCTTAATCCCTGCAAAATATTCAGAGGATGTATTCAGAGGATGGGGACAAAGGAGGTTTTGAGTGCTAGGGATCTGAACATACAACCTCATATAAGTGTGTTACATCAGAGTGAGTGGATACAAGTGCTTTTTATGATTTGAGAAGAGTTGGAGTGTAAGGAAACTAACATGATGTCAGCATGCTTCTGGCAAGACAATGACTGAACAAATAACAGTGAACACATTTCACCCTTTCTTTCTTTTTGGTCACTACCTCATTGGAAGATAGCTGGTGTTAAAAAACACAAACACATTGATAAAAATGATGTTTCCACTGTCCTTAGCCTCCTCTTCAGTGCAGCATTTAATGATTACGCCTCACACTCCTACAAAAGTGTTTTGTACTGCCATACTCTGATACATTTCCTGTTGTATTCACTGCTAATTTCTTTCTTTTTGGACACCTTAACACATCTACCTTTTCCCCCTCATCTATTTTATGATTTGCCTTGTCCTTCATACACTTATTAGTTGACACATTCCATGATAAATGCCTAAATATATAGCTAAAATGCTGGGAATGAGGGGCTAGTAACCCCTTCTCCTGTATACATTACTAAATTTAAAGAGAAACTTTTGTTTTTTTTTTTTAGGTCACCCTGCCTAGGTGGGATATGACTGGTTTGTTGAAAAAAAAAAAAAGATGAATGTAAACAAAACTTTTTCTACATTTTTTTTTAAACACAAGAATATTCTTAGAGAATCACATTACCATACCTGAACCCAGAGTTGATGAGGCTCTGTTAATGTCATAGCATTAACTTCTAGATATGTGAATGAAGGTAAATTCCCTTCATGACTGCATTCTTGAAGAACTCTTACTACTTCCCTGACCGTTGCAGTCTTCCCTGTGCCAGGCACACCACTAATATACCTGGAAAAAATACATTTTATGAACTCATCAGAATAAGTGCAAACAGTGACAGCTGGGTGTGCTTAAAAAATAAATCCAATATAAATAAAATAAAGAAGACATTTGTTACTGTATTTAGATGAGAGAGGAATTAGGATAAACATGAAAGCCATTATAGGTTGGTAGTAAAATCTGGAAGGGTTCATAAGAAAAGGAAGTTAAAATAAATGAAAAAATGAGTAAGGTGATAAGAATAGGAGGAAGCATATAATATAAAAGTATGGAGGAAGTGATTTTGTATTTAAGTACTTAGGAGTAGATGTATTCTCCATGGGGAGGTAGAACAGAATTCTCCCTCCATAAGCCATGAGTGTTGTACGAGGCGATTAAAATGCTGGGAGCAAGAGACTAGCAACCCCTTCTGTAAACATTACTAAAGTTAAAAAAAAGGCACTTTCGTTTTTCTTTTTGGGCCACCCTGCTTTAGTGGGATATGGCTGGTTTGTTGAAAGAAGAAGAAAAGATGTACAGGATAGCAATGTAAAAGCTGAGTTAAATGTCACAATATATGAAGTAAAGAAAATTTAATGAATTTTGAGGAATCTGTGAAAAGATCAAATTTTTTCAATGTATGCAGAAAAGGGTGTAAAAATATGACCTTTCAATGTCTTAAACCAGAATAACATTAAAAATAGAAGAATAACACTTAGGTACTCTACTTTTTACCTAAAATAGTATTTTACATACAATTTGGTTATATTGCAATAAACACTGAAATTAAAGGAGTTAGAAGCCCACTTTACACAGCAGACTCTTTCCATTACTGTATTTTAACCTTTTCACTGTCGGAGTCGTATTAGAACAGCTTACAAGCCAGTGTTAGTGCCGCATTAATACCCCAAAATTCTAACAGCTTCAAATCTAGAGGAATAAAGCTGATAGACCTACATGTGAGAGAATGGGTCTGCATGATCAGTGTGTGCAGTATAAAAAAAAAATCCTGCAGCACGCAGTTCATAATGAGAAAAAAAAAAAACTTACTGTTTTTGGTCTAAAATGCCAAATCAGAGGTGTATGGTATTTACCTGGAGTATAGCTGGGGTATACTCCAGGGTCAATGCCCCCATGGCCCAGCCTGTGACCGGGCCTCATGGTGGATCAGGGCCTGATCAACCAGGCTGTTATTGCTGGCCGCACATAATCTAATGTAGTACTATGAACCACAACCCGGCTGGTCAGATATGTACTGACTTTAGGTGACTGTCCAGTGCCTGCTTTAAGACAGTCAGGGGTCGATTGGTAATCCCCCCTGATGTATGCTGGGAGGCAGCTGAACAGTCTTGGGCCCTTGACACTTATTGTGTTGTCATTATCGTGCTAGTGGCACCCCTGGTTTTCATTGTTCGGGATGTTGCACCATCTGCTGAGTCTTTTGCTTTCGTAGGGAGTGATTTTTGTGTGCAAATTTGGTACTAGTCCCTCTAGGATTTTCCAGCTGTATATAATCATGTATCTCTCCCTCAGGTGTTCTAGGGAGTACAGGTTTAGGAGCTTCAAGTGTTCCCAGTAACTGAGGTGGTTTATCGCAGTTATGCGTGCAGTGAAGGTTCTCTGTACATTTTCTAGGGCAGCAATTTCACCTGTCTTGAAAGGTGCTGCTAGTGTGCAGCAATATTCCAGCCTAGATAGAACAAATGAGCTGAAGAGTGTCATCATGGGCTAGGCATCCCTGGTATTGAAGGTTCTCATTATCCATACTGCATTTTTCTAGCAGATGCAATTGATACAATGTTTTGGTTCCTGAAGATTAGATCCTCTGACATGATTACCCCCAGGTCTTTGACATCAGTTTTTCACTCTACTGTGTGGTTGGAATGTGTTTTATACTCTGATGAAATTTTAATTTCTTCATGTTTTCCATATCAGAGTAATTGGAATTTCTCAACATTGAACTTCACATTGTTTTCTGCAGCCCATTTAAAGATTTGGTTGATGTCTGCCTGGAGTGTTGCAGTATCTTCAATGGAGGACACTGTCATGCAAATTCGGGTGTCATCTGCAAAGGAAGACACTGCGCTGTGACTTATATCCCTGTCTGTGTCTGATATGAGGATGAGGAACAAGATGGGGGAACTGAGCTTCTCACCATTGCCGCCTCAGACTTTACTCTGTTGACTACTACTCTTTGTGTTCTTTTTGTTAGGAAATTATAGATACATCTACCGACTTTTCCTGTTATTCCTTCATCACGCATTTTGTGCACTATTATACCATGGTCACACTTTTCAAAGGCTTTTGGAAAGTCTGTGTATATTACAACTGCATTCTGTTTGTCCTCTAGAGCATCCAGGACCTTGTTGTAGTGGTCAAGTAGTTGAGACAGACAGGAGCAACCTGCTCTAAACCCATGCTGCCCTGAGTTGTGTAACTGACGGGTATATAGATGGGTGGTGATCTTGCTTCTTAGAACCCTTTCAAATATTTTTATGATATGGGACGTTAGCACTATTGATCTGTAGTTCTTTGCTATTGCTTTACTACCCCCTTCGTGGAGTGGGGCTATGTCTGTTTTAGTAACTGTGGGACGACCCCAGTGTCCATGCTCCCTCTCCAGAGGATGTTTAAAGCACGTGATAAGGGCTTCTTGCAGTTCTTGATGAACACGGAGTTCCATGATTCTGGGCCTGAGGGCAGAGTGCATGGGCATGTCATTTATCGCCTTTTCGAAGTCATTTGGTGTCAGGATAATATCAGATAGGTGAGTGTGCACCAAATTGTCTCTCTCATAAAAAATTAATTTAGATCTTCAACTCTCAGTCTGGTTAGTGGCTCACTAAAAACCAAGTCATATTGGGACTAGAGTAGCTCACTCATTTCCTTGCTGTCATCTGTGTAGGACCCATCCCGTTGAACCCTTTGACTGTCGCAAGCCCCTTTCTAAAACTATCATTCTGTCCCAAAATTTTTTGAAAAAAAAAAAAAAAAAAAAAAAAAAAAAAATTCTAATGAAATGATAGAGAATCTTTTCTCGGTGGTAATGACACCAAAAGTACGAAATTTGGTCGAAAACTCATGGAATTAGGCTCCCGCGAAGTTTGCGGTCTCGGCGACATATACGCATCGGTGATTTCACCGAATTTAAGCCCTGTTTTTGGCCAATTCTGTTGTTCCAGTTGACCAAACTCATAGCTATTTCTTTAGAAATAGCTATTTTTTTTTATCAATTGAGTACAAGAAACCGCCCATTTACCTATCTGAACTACCCAAGAAAGTGGTCAGAAATTGGCAGTTTGGCCAGTTTCACGCAAATTAAAAAAAGATGCCAATTTCAAAATAGGGTCCAGAATAAACAAGGTAGACATTCTTAGCACTAAAATAACATATCCTCTGTTCATTAGTCACGTCTCTAGGCCCCTCTTATATTACTATTTCTTTCTATTTTGATTTTTTATTCATACAAAAAATACAAAATTTACTGTTATGCAGACTACTGCATTATTGTAAAACTGGTATAAACAATATCAGTGCACTAGTGAAAGAATATTAGACTACCCAGTTGATGTGTATTGGACGTGTGGTGTGATTTGCTTACTCTTGAACATTGGTAAAAATTGAACATTTCCGCTACTTTGAGCTCAATTTCAAGGTCGTTTTCATTGTGAAACTAATCAAAATAATCTCTATTTCTGCAATATGTTTTCCATGTTTAATATTCTTTCACTAGTGCACTGATATTATTTATACCAGTTTTACAATAATGCAGTAGTCTGCATAACAGTAAATTTTGTATTTTTTGTTATTTATTATTATCACACTGGCCGATTCCCACCAAGGCAGGGTGGCCCAAAAAAGAAAAACTTTCACCATCATTCACTCCATCACTGTCTTGCCAGAAGGGTGCTCTACACTACAGTTTTTAAACTGCAACATTAACACCCCTCCTTCAGAGTGCAGGCACTGTACTTCCCATCTCCAGGACTCAAGTCCGGCCTGCCAGTTTCCCTGAACCCCTTCATAAATGTAACTTTGCTCACACTCCAACAGCATGTCAAGTATTAACCCTTTGAGGGTTTTCGTCGTACTAGTACGTCTTACGCGTAGGGGTTTTTGACGTACTAGTACTCATAAATTCTAGCGGCCTCAAATCTAGTGGGAGAAAGCTGGTAGGCCTTCATATGAAAGAATGGGTCTATGTGGTCAGTGTGCACAGTCTAAAAAAAATCCTGCAGCACACAGTGCATAATGAGAAAAAAAAAACTATTACCATTTTTTTTTAATAAATCAGCGACTTTGCAGTGTATTTTCGTATGGTATTTATTGTTGTATTCTAGTTTTCTTGGTTTCATTTTATAGAATGGAATACATATTACAGAAATTGAGATGATTTTGACTGGTTTTACAAAGAAAGGTGCCTTGAAATTGAGCTCAAAGTAGCAGAAATGTTCGATTTTTGCCAAACTTCAAAAGTAAACAAATCGTGCCAAGCGTGCAATACACGTCAACTGGTGAGTCTAATATTCTTTCACAAGTGCACCAATAATATTTATACCATTTTTTACACTAATGCAGTAGTCTGCATAACAGTAAATCTTATATTTTTTGTGAAAATAAAAATTCAAAGTGAAAGCAAAAGAATATAAGAGGGGCCTTGAGACATGACTAATGACTAGAGGAAATGTCATTTTAGTGCCAGGAATGTCTTTCTTGTTTATTCTGGACCCTATCGGGAAAATTGGCATCTTTTGAAATTTGTGTGAAATTGGCAAAATTGCTAAATTCTGACCACTGTACTGGATAGTAGAATTTCATAAATGAGTGGTTTCTTGCACCCATTCGATAGAAAAAATGGAGTTCTATCGAAATATTCATGTTTTTTGTCGACTAGTACAGTGAAATTGGCCGAAAATGGGGCTCAAAGTGGGCAAAATCGGCGATGCGTAAACATCGCCGAGACCGCTAACTTTGCGAGAGCATAATTCCGTAAGTTTTCTATCAAATTTCAAACTTTTGGTGTCTTTATG